TAACAGTTAAAATCTTTTAAACCATTGAAAAAATCATAATAAAAATTTTTAAATTGTTTGACATTCATTTTGTAATATTGCTTATTAAAAAATAGCTTCATTAGTATATTTAAAAAAATTTCTGATCTTTTCTTTCCTTATAACTTTCCTGGGCATTAAGTTGTTGAAAGTGAAAATACTTCCGGCTGTCAAAAAAGTGCTCGACAAAAAAGCCTTGAAAACACATTCAAAAAAACTCGACAAACCAATTTTAAACTTTAAGTGTGAGATTCTGATTAGCTATTTTCGATTATAATACCTCACTATATTATTTTTGGTATTATAGATCTTGAGTCTGTCTTGACAGATTAAAGAGGTGAGAATAAATGGCGATTGTTTCCAATGTCAAAGGAAAAAATCGAGAGTACACAGAGAAATATCTATTTTTTCTAAACCATTTTCATTTTTTAGAAATCAGAAAAAATCACTTCTAAAACAATTAAAGATGACTAGCAAGAAAAAAAATCGTAATTCTATCTATTTAGCGATCAAGAAAAATGTTGTTTTTGGACTGCTATTTCAATAATGCTCAGTCAATTTTGACTTTAGTTACAATTTTAGGTGTGTGTAAAAGTTAGATGACCCAATAAAATGCATTATTTCTCTGGTCATTAACAGCCATCTTTCAGTAATCAATAACGTTTAAGTAACTTCTTAAAAAAATTCAATATTTTTAATAGAGTAATACCGATGCGACACTTAAAAAAGATTCTCATTTTACCAGAAAGTCTTCTATTGATTAAAAAACAAAAAGAATTTTCAAGGTGACACCTTGGTCTTATATTTGTAATAAAAAATAATAACAAAGGACAAATTACTCTCCCTGAGAACTGGTTGAATCACTGTACTTTGCAGTTGATCCAGGCACTAACTATAATTGTTTGTAAACTGATAAGGTTAGTCTTCGATGCTTAATCTACTTGAAAATATTCTTAAGAAATAGCAAAATTATGCGAAAAAAAAAAA